GTCTAAAAGGGTAAAAGAAAACAATTCTTTTCTATAGTTTAAATTTATATAGTAGTATAGTTGTTCAAAATGTTGAATACATTCCAAATTTTGCTAAATACATCTTACACATGATTATAAGATTCTGTTGGACAACAAAAATTACTGGCTTAGAAAACAAAAGTATTGGGCCGGGGAGATGGCTCAGTGGAATAAGCGCTTCCCTGGCAAGTGCAAGGGCCTGAGTTCCATCCCTGGTTCCGCCAAAAAAAAAAAAAAAAAGAAAGAAAGAAAAAAAAGAAAACAAAAGTATCATATCTATACTCCCACATACAACTAAATTGTTTTAATTTTGCAGATGCCAATCTACAACCTGTCTTCAACTACGTGGTTTCCAAATTATTAATAATTACACTCACTTTTTAAGCAAAATGTTACACACAGTATTGATGACTATCTAGTGAAACTAGAACTCTAAACTGGTTTTAAAAGATATCAAAATTGAACTTCTAGTATATCATACTTAACCTAAAATTCTTGTATAAAATTGAAATGAGTTATTCATTTAAGGTATGAAAAAATACTAAAAGAAAATATTCAACATTAAGGTGCCATAAGTAATATGAATCAACAGGTCTGAATGTATCTTTACGAATTATCATATGACCTGAAGAAAACAGGCTAATTTTTATAAGCTATCCAGGGCATTTATTAAATTAGGCAAAATCCAGGGCATTTATTAAATGTAGGCAAAAGTAGAATTAGTTACTGTAATTACAGGACACTTTCAAATGGATCTACATTTAAAGTATCCATACAATCATAAAATTTTATATAACGTGAATAATTTATAATTAACCTATTTATATCTTACGAATACTGATGTATTTTGTATAACACTATAGATATCTAGTAAGAAACTTTCTCAAGTAATTAAGCATTACAAAAACTGCCATCATGTAGAATTCTTTTGTCCTGAGAATGTTCTTAATATTAAGACTATGAACACCAGTACATACAGTCCTGTTATCTAAATCAAACTGAAAAAGCAGATGTGATAATATTCAACTGAAAATTAAACCTTTAAAGTAATCCCCAATTTTCTTAATATAAGACTATAATCATTGGTAAATCTCATAAGATATCACTGAACACAAGGAAACCCATTTTCACTATTTTTCTAGACTCAAAATCACCATTTGTAACACAGTACATAATTTACATTTATTTATCAAACATTTGCATTTTATTTTCTAGTGAAGCTTTTAAAAACATTACAATCATTTCTGTGACAGAAAATGGAAAATTAGTAGTATGTTTCAAATATTAGTCCAAAAATAATATTGTTGCTAGCTCTACTATAAAAAATATGCTTATTTTTATACTGTCAGGAAAACTTAACAGCTATCAGTAAATTTTCTACTGCTATTTGACATCTATCCATTTTGTAATGCAATCGCACACACACACAAAAAAAAACTAGAACATATCTTTGTGTTTTGTGTAAGAAATATGTGTCTTCATTACACATACCTTAACTATTTCTTCAATGAAACAAATGTGAGAAACAGGATCTCTCTTCTTGGTTAGTACTTTTTGTAGATGTTGTACCTAAAAACGGGTAGCAGATATATATAAATGGGCATGTGAAATGAAACAAATGTAAAGTTCAGGTCCTAAGCAAAGCAAGGTACATTTCAGAAACTACTAAATAGTATTGGTAAGAGAAAGGAAATGACCCAATGCTAGAGTCTTTATATCCATTACAAGAAGCTTACAGACGAATTTTTTAATATATGAGATTTTTAAAACTTCTCCCAAGTCACACTAACCAGTAGTCAATTCATAATTAATATTTTTTTTACCTCTTGAAATATTTACCTGTCCACAAGCAGCACAAATATGATCCATAAGTTTCTCCATATTGGTCCAAAGGGAAGCACGAAAAGCTGCAGTATTTCCTGGGGCTGGCATAGTAGATCGTCCAGGACCCCCTTGTTATAAAAGACAAAAAGAAAAGAAAAAGAAAAAAAACAAGTTTTCCAAATGCAATAAAATATATTCTATTCTAAAAAGCATCCAAAGATAATAACTGAGAAGTTCCATTTAAATTCTTAAAACTAATATGCAATCTGTGTTTAGAAAGGGAAGCACCACAAACATATGTGCACAGGCATACAGGTACACACTCATGGAAGACAAAATGAAATTAATGAAGATGGTTTCCAAGGCCAGTGACATAGCTCGTAAGACTAAATGCCTGCTTAGGTACATGCAGGGACCGGGGTTTGATCCCCAGTACCACAAGCTGTGCCAGCCCTGCCCCCAGGCACGCTGAGCCTACCACTGAGTCCAGGCCTGGCAGCACATGCCTGTAATCTGACTGCTGGGAGGCTGAAAATAGGAGAATCACTACAAGTCCGAGCTGCATAGTGAGACCCTGTACAAAATATATAAAAAATAAAAAAGATGATTTCCAAAAAGGAGATGAAAGTGGTAGAAAACAGAACAAGGTGTGAGGTACATGGCTTGTAAGTAAGTCCTCATGACTAAAATAAGCACTTTGCAATTTTCCAAAAATATTTTGTATCCACATGAATGTTTTGCATATTCTAAAAACAAACTTATATTTAAAAGGAACAAAAAATATTAAAACTGAATATAAACAAATACAAGTGAAATTGCCTATAAAACAAATAATATAACCTCATGGGGGTGACAATTTAGTAATTCTTAATCACGGGATATTGATTTTAATACGATATACTTTACGAACAAAACAAAAACCACAGAGAAATCTTGTGCGTTATAGATGATATAAAGTGATCCTCCTGCTTCAACCTCCAAAGTGCTGGAATTACAAGGATGGGTCACCATGCCTGGCTCTAGTTTATTTTATAAGAATACACCTTACATTCTTGTATTCTCTCTCTTACTCATCCCACGTGGAAACAAGTGGCAACTGTGGGTAAGAAACTGAACCTGACTCACCTGTTTCATTTTCTCTCACTGAAGCTTTCTGTGTATAGAAGGTGCATTCAGACTTGCACTCTACCAATGTTAAGCATAGCAGGGCAGGTTATTTGGGTACAAAGTTTCATTTTGAGGTGACATGTTAGGAAATCCACTTGGCTGCAGATCTAAGCCATGCCCTTCAGTTAAGGTTTTTGTTTTTTGTTTTTCTTGAGGGAATTTTTTTTGGGGGTGTACTAGGAATCAAACTCGGGACCTATTCCCTGTCAGGCAGGCACTGTGCCACTGAGCTTGTTTTTAAATCTCTCATAAAACTAGTATTTTAATTACCATCTTTTTTTCTCCTACATCTGTTTTATAGTCATTTTCAAATTCAGTAAGAACAACATTTATTGGGCCACAAACAGTTACAAAATTCCAAAGGAAAGCGGGTGCAAATAAGAATCTATATCTACTAAAATTATTTAAACATAAAGGCAAAAAACACCATCAATATGCAAGAACCCAGAAAACACAGTTCACATGAAACATTTTCTAACAATTATCATAAAATCCAAGCAAGGGAGACATGAATGTAAAAATGGAGAGGTAATATGATAAAAGATAAAAACCAAATTGCTAAAAAACAGAAGAAAATGTATAAAGCACTGATGACCCAAAACTAACAAATACTTCATGCATACAGAATAACACTGAGAATATCAGTCATGTAGCTTAAGAACTACTACACCTGGTTTTCCCCTTCCTAGCGTTGCTTCCACTCCAGAACAAGTCTTATATTTGATGATTACCATTCCATATAGTTATACTTTGATAAAATGTAAACATATGTAAAAAATTATAGGACTGTACATTTTTCATTTTCTTGGGCTTTAGATATGTTGTTATATTGTATGTATTGTGGTGCAACTTACTATTTATTGATTTAATTACTATTGAACCATTTAAAAACTAATTTATCCATTTTTCCATTGAAGCAGAGGTTATTTTAACTCATATTATATACTACAGTACAATATAAATTCTTATATGTATGTCAGAGTTTCTCTAAGGCATATTCCTATAAAATAAATTAGATCCAGGAATATACCCATCCTTGAAATTCCAGCATTTGGGAGGTGGAAGCAAGAGGATCACTGTGAGTTTAAGGTCAGCCTGCGATACATAGTGAGTTCAAGGCCAGGCTGAACTACATAGCAATACTCTGCCTCAAGAAATCAACAACTTTGGCCTGAGAATTTAACTCAGTGGTGCACTGCCTGCCTGGCAAGCATAAGGTCCTGAGTTCAATTCTCTGTTCACTATCCCTCAAAAAATTCAACAAGATGAACAAACAAATTAGAAGATCATAAAAAATACACATTTTTAGTATATGTGCTGCCGAAGTGAGCACAAAATACACATTTTTAAAGATCAAATTTTAAAATAGAACACAGTGATTGAAAAATATTTTGCTACATGAACAGAGGGATTTGTTCTAATGATGTCTGTAAATAGGATATCATGTTCGCATCTTTTACAGCAATTAACCACTAGGAAGAATGTATGCAATGTGTTAATTATTAAAACTGTCCTACCAATTTGGTATGAAACTGTCTCATTGCTATTTGTTTCTCAATAAAATTATGGAAAAAAATAAAATTAATTTTAAAAAAAGAAAGAAAAATATTTTGCTACATGTATAAAGAATTTCTGTTGTTATTCAACACCTACCTTCCTTAGATTTTTCCAGATAATTAAGAAATAGTACATAATTTGTATTTCTGCTTTGAAACTGTCTCATTGATGTTTCTCAATAAAACAAAATAAAATAAATTTGTATTTCTTTAATAAAAGTCTAAACATGTTTCACAAGTTTATTGACTAGGTCCTCCCATAAACTGCATATTTATAGTTTATTTTGGTCAATGGAGTTTCCCTTTACTCAAATAATAGGCTTTTTGTACATTTAAAGTAACATTCTTTTTCTTAAAATATTGCTGTATATTTTGAAAAATTAAACAACCTTAAATTTGTAGAAAATTTGCTACTGTAAACAATATTTTCCCTAAACCATTTACAACTAAGTCAATGAGATGATGTCATATTATCCTTTAGTATTTCTATCTGAATGACTATTCTATATATTTTCAATATACCAAGGATGAGGAAGTTAACATACTGCCTATGTAACATTCACAAAATAAAAACATTAGTGACTAGTCTTTAAAAATAAAGCATTTCTCCTCAAAGTTACAACATTTAAGTCACGATATCCATTCCTCTACAGATGATGAGAGCTTAAATGCTCTTTACTCTTTCAGCAAAAGAGGAATACATTAAGAATGACTGCATGTGAATAATTGCTTTTCTTTTTTTGCCCCATTTTTGACAACACAAGAGTAATATTAAGCTGCGCCTAGACATTTAAACATTACATCAAACTTTCTGACAATAGTTGCTGGGAAAAGTTGATTGTTAAATCTCCCTTGGTAATTTATTTTCAAAAATCTCCTTCTGGAATAGTATTATTATGGACCTACTCAAAAGGCGTGGATAACCTTCAAAATATCTCCTTGAGGCCTACAATTCATTTATCTTTTTTTTATCTACTGAATATGTATGATATGAAATATGAAAGTAATAAATGGTTGCAAATCTTTTTTTGGTATTGACCATGTAGCAAAACTGTTAATTATTCTTCATGAGTAATTTCATTTAAGTTTCAGTACACTTCCATGATGAGTAGAGGACCTTCAATTTAAGGGTGGGACATGGAAGAGAAAAACTGGAAATACTAAGTGTAGATAGCAACTTGGGAAAGTTTTCTGTGTGTAGACTGACAAAATGAGGTGGGATGGAAAAGCTGAAGAAAAAAATGGAATCAGGATAAACCTGTTTACTGCTACACAGAAGGAGATATAACAGGATAACTGAGTGTGAAGGAAAAGATGCAGAAAAGAAAAAATTCCAATGGCAAAGTGAAAGCATCTGCTGAAACAACACCCTGGTGTGATGGGACTTGACACAAAAGAGGAGTGATCTTTTCTAGCAGAAAAAAATAGTTCTTCCATACAAATCCTCAGTGCCCCCAGACACACTGAGCAGGCCACAGAGTCCAGGCTTGGTGGCACATGCCTCTAATTGCAGCACTGGAGAGGCTGAAAAGAGGATTACTATAAGTCTGAGCTGCGTAGTGAGACCCTGCATAAAACGCCACTCAAAAGTGTATGTATAGACCCAGTCCTAGCCCAAGCGCAATGAGTGTGTGGGAGAGCTTCCGGCTACCCTGTGACAGAGGCACCTACTGGTCCCAGCCCAGGTAGAGCATGGGTGAGACCCTCTTCCACCCCTTGGGACACCCTCGACCACTTCGCAACACCTCCCCTACCATGCCTGCGCAGTAGGAATTTCTGCCGGATTCCAGGGACCCCCAGATCCAATCCTAGCTCAGGCCCAACGAGTGTGCGGGAGAGCTTCCAGCTACCCTGTGCTGGCATCAACTACTGGTCCAAGCCCTGGCACAGCATGGGTGACCCCTCTTTTACCCTCTTGGGACACCCCCCATCACTCCTTAGTACCCCCAAAACCCCACCCACAGAGTAGGAATTTCTGTCACGTTCTGGGAACCCCCAGATCCAGTCCTAGTCCAGGCCTGGTGAGTGTGTGGAAGAGCTGGCTCTCCTCCCTATTCCAACTTGTCCCCTCCAGACGCAACTCAGGCCTGGCATACAGGCCTGGGGTGAAATTCTGCAGCCGCAATCGCTGCAGAGAGTGTAGCAGACAGATCCACCCAGCTAGTGCAGGTGCAGAACATCTTGCCAGAGGGGCATAACAGGTCCACCCCCAAGGGCAGCAGCAGGAAGGAGCTGAGTACAACAGGCATACCCAAGCCAGGCACAGCTGGAAAAATCCAAACTTTGTAGATCTGCACCTGAACTTCTGTATGTATGTGCTAAGGTTATAACTGCAACAAAGATCTACAACAAAGATCAGAAGACAGTGCTATACAAAATAAAAACGAGAAGGAGCAAAATGCAAT